ATTGGAGAGAGGCAACAAAATGGTGAGGGGGCTGGAGGACATGGTTTATGAGGAGAGGCTGAGGGAACTGGACTTAGTCTAGAGAAGAGAAGACTGAGGTGGAATTTAATAGTAGCCTTCAACTACTTGAAGAGTGGTTCCAAAGAGGATGGAGCAAGACTGTTCTCAGTAGTGGCAGATGTCAGCACAAGGAACAATAGTCTCAAGTTGAAGCAAGGAAAGTTTGATTTATATATTAGGAAAAACTTTCTCACTAGGAGAGTGATAAAACACTGGTACAAGTTACCTAGAGAAGTGCTGGAATCTCCATCCTGGGAGGTTGTTAAGACCCAGCTAGGCAAAGCTTTGGCTGAGATGATATAGTTGGTAATGGTCCTGTTTTGAGTAGGGGGTTGGCATAGATGACCACCTGAGAACCTTTCAGCCCTAATTTCTATGATTCTTTGATTCTAGCAGCCAATTTTTGAAGCGATGAGCTGATGAGAAATCTGAAGTTAATTTGTATATAGTTTAAAATGTTGAAATGTGGAATTGTTGGAAAAAAACTGTTATTCAATTTTTCCAGAAGTACCATTCCAGTATTCTTTTATCATTGAATAGATGTTGATGCTTTTAAAAGTACTTGAGTTTAATCTAAATCCAGTTGACTTTAATGAGAGCTAAACTAGAGAAATGCTTATTTCCTTTGAAATTTGTATTGGACTCCTTAGTCTTTTGGATTCATAATATTGCTGCTGTGGCATGCCAGATAGTCAACACTTCTTGCTAACAATGCAACTAATAACGAGATTGATGACTTTGTTGTGAGAAGCGGACTCAGATTGTCCACATAAGTGAACAACAATGGGGTGTGACGTTTTGACTGATTTTGGGAATGGGCAGAGCCTGCTTGCTCTGTTTTCATCTGGATGCTTTTCAGACTGTTAAAGAAGAAGTGAATGGCTTCATAACCCATTTTTATTGCCTAGAACCATGAAGTTTCTTTTCCAATTTGTTATATATGGAAACTGTTAGGAAAGGTATTTGAAAAGTACACTTCAGTTTATCATAGTTTAAAAATGAACTTGCTACTAAATATTGAGCAAGTGTTGATTTACATTCTAAGATGCATTTAACTCAAGCAATTAACATTTGAAAAGCTAACAAACTTATAGTAATATTTAAAAATACTTTGTAAAAAAATGTTATATTTATACTACAGTGTCAAGAATAATGCGTACCTTCTATTTATGAGTTTCCAAATAAGGAAAAAGATAAGTGGTACTTATTTATACTTACTGATAAGTATTTCATTACTGTTCTGGCCAATATGTCAAGATATTATAAAAGTGCATTCTTAGTCTTCTAAGAGGTAATTTCCAGTTATTTAACTTCCTGTGTCTCTGTTTAGCTCAGATATTTACATGACCCTAGTACCATTATATATGAAGGTTCATAGCATTTAATCTATTTCTTCTCATAGCATCCTTATGGAATGGAGAGGTTTTTAAATTCCTGTTTTACAAATACAGAATGAAAATACTGAGAAATTAAATTATTTTGTGTGTTCACATAAAAGTCTGAGGCAAGGTTGGGCAGTGAACCCAGGTTTCTTGTCCTCCTATTCTTATGCTCTAGCAAAAATAATCTTTGTCATCAAAAGTGACCTATGTTTTCATGTAATATTTGTATATAAATGTACGTGTGTGTATTCATGTATTTATATGTGTGTGTGTTTTTTTGTATAAGATATACAGAAGGATATTGTCCTGTACGTTGGACATGAGACCAGGAATAAAGAGACCAACATATTATGCCACTGTTGCTTGGAAACATGCCAAAAAAAAAAGCATGGCCATGTGTTAAATATTGGTAACTTGATATCAGAATTCTTATTTGGTTTATTTAATTTAATGAAAAGAAAATTTGTGTCTCTCTGTAGCTATTCAAGATCCTTTCCTTAGCCAATTTGACATAGCTCTGGTTTATACAGATTAAATGGGCTTTGTGAATCTTCCACAAGTAGAATGTGCCTCCTGCATTCTACGCAGCTCATTTCCATGGATCCATCAACCATCTCCCCTTGCTGAATTGTATGTTTATCATCCAATAGATTATCTGGCCCATTTGATGTTATGTGGAAAAAAGCCCCCATAAACTGAAAAAAACAATACATTGATAAATTCAATAGTACCATGAGCTGAAACCTGTCACTAATCTCTTCTCTCTTTCAGTGTGCCCGTTATGATAATGTCTTTGCTGCTGAAATTCTAATTGAGAGAGGAGTAAATGTAAATCATCAGGATGAGGATTTTTGGACATCAGTGCATGTAGCCTGCGCATGTGATAATCCTGATATTGTCCTACTACTTCTGCTGGTAAGTAAAGCAATTCATGGATTATATGCTTGAAAAGGAAACGTGTATGAAAAAGCCATGAGATCTGAAATGGCCATTTAAATGAAATGTTTGATGTAACAATTCAGGTTAGTGAAAAAGTATATATTTGATATATTTGTATATTGTGGTTTTCTTTACCTTGTAGGTACTTAGAGTTTATGGAAGGAAATTTTTCAGGTTTGTCAAGTGAATACAGTTTAAGTGCCATGTCCTTTTTTCCCCAGAGGTCAATATATCCAGTAATAGCTCAGTTAACTCTTTGCCAAATGGAATAATCATATCATTTCTTTTCTCTTCTCCCTGTCACCTGATGTTGGAGGCTGAGCTGGCAGAGAATCTTATCACAACTGCTTCTCAAAAGCACGTATTCCTTCATTCAATTACACTCACTAGTCATAAAGAAAGGTGTGAACATGTTTAAACTAAGAACAATTAAATATTGACGTAGCTAATTTGGTGAAACAAAGACTAGTATGGTTAATAATATGTATAGCATATGATGCATGTAATTACATCGTATTAGAATTACAATATAATATGCATGCAGCATACTATATATATATATATATATATAGTACCATGATCTAGTGGTTGATGATCAATTGTTGTCTACTACATACAGCATACAGCCTATCACAGATGAAGGGCTTTTATCCTTATTAAATATCTTGTATTTCTAAGGGTTCAAGCTTTAGTCCTGAAACATGATTTGTGTTGCTGTTGCATCTGCTGGTCTGTATTTATTTTACAGCACACTTTAAAGCAACAGTTGAAATTGCTGAGTATTTGACTTAGCTTTACAATTACTTATGTCTATTTTTAATGCCTATACCTGTTCGTACTGTTTGATAGCATACCATTTCAAGTGGGCCAGCATTCACTGGTATTGCCTGAATAGTGCCCCAGGGCTTATAAGCAGTGAATGAAAGGTAAGGAAATGTAGCAAGAGAAGGTACCTTGCGACCTAGGGAAAGTAACCACCCCAAGTTAGGCACCAAGATTTACCTACCTCGCCATGTGGGATTCCCAACTTGCAGCTAGATACATAACCAGCATCAGTCTTTTAAAAACAGCTGGAGGAATGAGGGAGGGTAGTATTGCCTTCCCTTTTATCTAGTCACCTGTTCTAGAGCACTTACCTGAGTTTCAGCTCTCTTCTGTTAGAGGAGTTTCAAATCCATACCTCCATATGAAAATACCCTACAGGTTGATGCTGAGGTTAGTCTCTCCTGTTGATGCTTTACATGCAATACTTAAGTACTCACTGGCCAGAGAGCATGGAGAATGATTCTGGGGCTCAGTGGTTATAGTACTCAACTTGGAGTTCCTATGTTCCAGTCACTCCTCCAATGACTAATAAAGCACTTTATACAATGTAGAACAGTTTCAAAAGGAGTGTTTGAGAGAACTCCCGTGTTCCTGAATACTCCGCAGCAGGGCTATCTAGTTGGTGGCCTGCAGGCCGTATCCAGCCCTGAGGGGTTAACCTGTGGCCCCTGGGCTCCCAATCCATGCACCATTCCAGCTGCTGCTGCCAATGGAATTTCTGGCTTTACTGTCCATCTTATGAATTCTACCTCCTGCCCCCACTGTTGTGTGCAGGGCAACATATAGGGCCGAGGTAGCCTGTGGCTGGGAAGCCTGTGGGGACTGAGGGATCCTACATGGCATGGGGACACCTGAATGGAAGAGTGGGGGGGAGCCTACCTGGTGCAGCACTACACGCAGGGTCCAAGGGCATTCGCACGTTACAGGAGGTCTGGGGCTGAATGCTGTGTGGTTTGACACATCAAGTGTTCCCGGAGGCACGTGTTCCCTGGGCACTCAGAAGTTGGACAGCTCTGCTTCATAGACTGCAAGTTAGTATTATCTCCTGGCAGGTAGCAAATGTGGGTTATAGTCCTGTCAGGCAGCTGTGCGCTAATGATTAATGAGATATTAGTATAGACTGTTAAAATATCACCATTGATATCTGAGATACCACTTAGGTTTGATGGAGGGATTACTTACATGTCAGAGCTATTCTTTCTGGTAGGCAAGTCTCTGTCAGATACTATTGAGCACATTTTAAAAAAATTCACAGCAAACAGTGGTGGGAGAATCCTCAGCTTTCAGTTAAAAGGAAGTATTCTGAAGAGGAATTAAGAGAATTGTCTGCAAACCTCAGTGAATCCATGATTTTTGATGGCAACGTAGCACATATTTCTAAGAAACACTGTAAAGAATTTCCTTATATGAATGTGTGGAAAATAAACCAACAGCATACATGTTTTCCCATACATTTAAATTGGGTTGATAATTAACCCCTTCATGTTAGAGCATCTCCTGTTTTTAAGCAACTATTTTTCCGGGAATCCAGGACAAATAATCTTTTTAGTGTTTTCTTAAAGGAGAGTATGTACCCGTATGCCTAACGTGTTGTCAGTTCATGAGTTCACTAAGAAAGGTTCTTAGTGAAACCAAACTACCATCAGTCCCTGCCTGATTAAGCCATGTTAAGAAGTTCAGTTGATCAATATTACTGAGAATAATAATCAGAGGTCCTGGTTTTCTCTGATTAAAAACAAAGCAATTTTTGGATAAAAAAAAGTAACACCAAATCCACATTTTTCCATGATTAAAATGAAATGCCACTAATATATCATGGAAAAATGTGGTTTTGGGTTACTTTTTTTAAGTCCAAAAATTGGGGATTTTTTTTATCAGAGAAAACTAAGATCCTTGATAATAATTAAGTCCATTCATAACTTTGTAAGTCCAGTCCAGCCCAGAAATAAGGCACCTTTTAATATTTAAGCTTAAAACATTCTATCACAATATTATAATTAAACAAACATATTTCTGTATTTTCTGCGGCTGAATTGGTCTTCTTATACTCTTAGTATACCATGCTATTTTAGTGTAAACTATGAATAACAAAGATATTAATAAGTATAGTCTGAGGTCTAAAGCTGAAAGAAATGGTGATAATATTGCTTCTAGACTCCAATAGAATAAAATATTTTGTCTTCCTGCTACTAGCTTCCAAAGCATCCAGAACCAGCACAGGGTCCAGCAACACATGATTGAGCTTAATTAAAGAGTAGAAATGCTATTTGCTAGTTCTTCCATTTGCTTACATCAAAACATCAAAGTTATCTTACACTATCTGAGCTTCTCACTACAATCTTTCCTTAGCATTTTCCCATTTCTGACTCCATTTATAATTCTAAAGTTATCATTGACATCCATGACTGGTCCCACTTAGTGTAAAAGCAAAATGTGTACTTTTATTTTCTGGTTTGGTGTGCTTACAATATCACTGGTATCTAAACCCACAGCTCTCAGGCATGATGGAGTGTAGGACTAATCCACTATAAACATTGACATTACTGTTGCCAAATACAAGGCAAAATTTCTATCAGATGGTTTCAGTTAGTTTTGGCCCAAATTCCTGCCTCCTTAACCACCATATAAAAATACTGTATATATGTTTCTTGAGAGCTGAGCATCCTTTAGGGTCTGAGATGACCAGAATATTGGTAAAAAACATAGAAGCATTGAACATGTTACTATGTCATGATCCATAGCTCTTATTATTTAAAATAAAACCAGTTGTGATTATAACAAGCCCTCATGCTTTTTATAGCCTATTATCTGGGTCTATGGGGGTTTTTACAAAAGAGACTGTAGTTTTATGTATGAATAAACAGTTCCTAGACTACTGTGTTATCAGGGATTCTGGTTTTCTCTGTTTAAAAATCTCAAATTCTCTGATTTAAAAAAACCCAAATTGGGGTCTGTTCTGTGATTAAAATGAAACACCACTATATATATAGGTTTTTGATTGAACACAATGCTTTATTAATATATTTACAGTTTTAAAACAATTTGGAAGCCTACTAGTGCCTCAATCATTTATAATAAAATAAATTTCAAATATCTGTATATTATGGCATTTCATTTTGTTTTTTTATCAAGGAAAAAAGTCAAAGCTCCCCGTGCCCTCTCTGCTCACCACGACATGGGCCCATCTATGGCTCTCCCCCTCCCTGCGCCAGCCCTGCTGCTTTGTGGCGCTGAGCAGCCTTGATATTCTGGTGTCCTGCCCCTGCCCATGCCATTGCCCCTCACTCCCAAGCCACGCCACCTCCAGCTCTGCTAGTGCCCTCACTCCCTAGCCCTTCCAGTGCCCCTCACTCCTGACCTGCAGCTCCCAATCCCTGCTGGTGCACCTTACTCCTGACCCACACTCCCTTGCTCCCCTCCTGCCCTGCCAGAGGGGATCCCCAGCTACCAGAGCACAGCCAGAGTAGAACCCATGTTGTGGGAGAGGATGCAGGTTGCCAGCTGTGGGGCTTGAGGCACCCTGCCCTGCTGTCCTTCCCCCAGGGTCGCCATGGCCCAGTGGGCAGGACCTGGCATAGGAGGGTGGAACCGGGTAGGGAGACTCAGTGCTACCACTATCACCAGGAACTCCGTGCCAGCTGCATTGCCATGGTGAGGTGCCTTCTGCCTGTGTGGCAGCAGTGGTGGGGCACAACTCCATACTGCTACCACTACCCCCACCCCCACTGCTGCCAGGCAGGCAGGAGGCACCTTGCTGTGGTGGCACAGCTGTCATGGGGCTCCTGGTAGTGGTGGCGGTGGCACCAAGTATCACTGCCCCACTCTGGCCTCCCATGCTGGGTCCTGTCTGCTGAGCCATGGAGGCCCTTAGTGGGGAGGGTAGCACGGTTGGGAGCCCCAAGCCTGCAGTGGGTAGCTCACATCCTCCGCCACCCCACACACAAATCTGGAGGGGCATGTGCCCTCCAATGCCCGTTCCCTGGGAGTACACGCAGCAGCAGGGAACCAGCCCCCCTCCCCCCCCCCC